CAGAATATCATATTCCAACCCTTTTGCTCCTTTACTGTAGTAGCTGCTAAATCTTATGTGATCTTGACTTTGGCTCCATGATATTTGAATGGTTTCTTTCTGGCTGCTTGCAATAGTTTCTCTTGACCTGGAAGCTCTGGAACTTGTCTATAACATTCCTGAAAGTTTTCATTTTGGGATCTCTTTCAGGAGGTGATCAGTGGATTCTTTCTGTTTCTATTTTATTGTCTGGTTCTAAGATATGGTTGTTTTCCTTTACAATTTTTTAAATAAAATTGCTAGACTCTTTTTTCAAAATCATGACTTTTATATAATCCAGTAATTTTTAAATTATATCTCCTTGATTTATTTTCTAGGTCAGTTGTTTTTTTTTTCCCCAGTGAGATATGTCTCATTTTCTTCTATTTTTAATTCTTCAGACTTTGTTTTATAGTTTCTTGATGTCTCATGGAGTCATTAGCTTCTACTTGCCCAATTCTCATATTTAAGGAATAATTTTCTTCAGGGAGCTTTTGTACGACTTTTTTCATTTGTCCATTTCTGATTTTTAAGGTGTTATTTTCTTCAGTATTTTTGTGCCTCTTTTACCAACTTGTTAATTGTCTTTTCATGGTTTTTTTTTTCATTGCTCTCATTTCTTTTCCCAATTTCCCTCTACCACTCTTATTTGATTTTTAAATGATTTTTTTAAGCTCTTCTGGGAATTCTTGTTGAACTTCTGTCCAATTTTCATTTTTTCCCTTTGAGGCTTTGCTGGTAGCTGTTTTGACATCTTTGTCTTCTTCTGCGTTTGTGTTTTGATCTTCCCTGTCATCACAGTAGCTTTTAATGGTCAGTTTATTTTTGGTTGTTTACTCATTTTGCACTCTATTTCTTGACTTTGAACTTTATGTTAAAGTTAGCCTCTGCTCACCTTGGTGGTGGTGGAAGCTGCTGTCCCAAGCATCAGTTCTTGAGCTGCTCTTTTCATAGTTTGTTCTGGGGTGTGGGAAGTTTTCAGTGCTTCTGAGGGAGAGAGGTATGATTCAGGGGAGGTGTGGACATTGGTTTGTACTCTGGTCATTATCCATGAAAGACGTCTGATTCTTTGAAACCACAAGTACTATACCTCCTTAGAGCCTCTGCTCTTTTCTTGGGTTCATAACACCACAACTATGTTTCTGGAACTTAGTTCTTGTTCCATACACAAGAAGGGCCCCTGCTCACTCACAACAACAATCACTCCTCTCTACTCTGAACCCATGACCCAGAACTTGGCAATGAGTGCCATAGCTGCCAGATGGCATCTGTTGCTGGACACAGTGCCAGTACTGTAGTCACTTGAGATCTCTTTTTCCCCATGTGTTCAGTAATCTTACTGTCATTGGGCACTAGACTGTTCCTTATCACTGCTGCTACTTTCATGGTCTGCTTCCATCAGCTGCAGGCACTGCTGCTGCTGCTGCTGCTGCTGCTGCTGCACTGAGTTTCCAGTGCACCCCACTCCAGTGGCTACAGACCTCTCTGTCCATCTTCCTAAGCTGCCCTGAACTGGAAAAAAGACACACTGTAACTTTTTCTTAGCTTTCTTGATCAGACACTTTTTTAGCTTGTTGTGGAGGGGGTGTATTGGAAGAACTCAGAAAAATTTCTGGCACTCACTTTACAATCTTGATTCCACCCCCTTTAACTTTTCTTAGAGTCTACTGATCTCCTTAGATTCTTTCTTATTTATTGTATGGTTAGATTTATCTAGGTCTGAGGAATAAATTGACACCCCCCACTAGTAGAGTTTTGCTATTTCTTCCAGCAATATGCTTAAATTTTCCCATGAAAATTTAGATCCTATACCATTTGATGTATGTATTTTTAGCATTGATATTAATTAATTGTCTGTGATGCATTTAGCAAAATATAGTTTCCCTGTTTATCTATTTTAATTGTCTATTTTTGCTATTTCTTTGAGATCATGATTATTACTCCTGCCTCTTTTTTTTTTACTCAAGCTAAAGCATAATAGATTCTTCTCCAGCCCTTATTTTAACTATGTGTATCTTTCTGTTTCAAATGTGTTTCTTGTAAACAACATATTGTTGGATTTTGGTTTCCAAGCCATTCTGTTATCCTTTTGCATTTTATGGGTGAATTAATTCCATTCACATTCACAGTTATGATTGCTAATTGTGTATTTCCCTCCATCCTAGTCTCTTACATTTTTCCTTCTCTCTTTTATCCCTATCCACTCTTTAAAAGTCTATTTTGATTCTGACTACTCACTCTCCCCTTAACCTACTCTCCTTTCTGTTTCCCTCCCACCCCCTTTTAATCCCTTTCCCTCTTATTTCCCTGTTGGGTAAGATATATTTCTCTACCTATGTGTTTGTGTGTATTCTTCTCTCTTTTAACTTGTTCAGATGAGGTTCAACTGCCTCTTGCTCTCGCCCATTTCCTTTACCATCACATAAACTCCTCTTCCCACATCCCATTTATGTGAGGTATTTTTTCCAATTCTTCCTCTCCCTTTCTCTCACAGCACACTTTTCTCTCCAATCCTTCTATTCTTTTTTTTTTTTTGAGATTATCCAAACACAATATAATCACATCCAGACTTTCTGTCTAATTAGACTTCCTATAAGACTTCTGGTCATGATAAAGTTCTGAGGAGTCACATGAATCATCTCCCAAATAAGAATTTAAACAATTCAACCTTGTTTAGTTACTTATGATTTTCTTATCACATTTACTTTTTGTGCATCTCTTGATTCTTGTGTTTGTATGTCAAATTATCTACTCAGAGCTGGTATTTTCATCAGAAATACTTTAAAATAGTCTATTTCATTAAAAATATATTTTTCCCCTTTGAGGATTTCTGTAGACTGCAGTTGGACTTTGTCACTGTTAGCCTGCTGGGAAACTCTAGAGTTTTGGAATGACTGAACTGCTTCCTCCTCTTTGGTCTGGGAATCCTAACCTGGTTATTCTACTGCAGGCTTAGGTGCAGGATGTACAGCCTTGGTAAATGCATAGAGGCAGGGGATGACAAGTTGGGAAAGAGAAGCAAGGCTTCCCAACCATGGGTCATGGCAGAATTCTTTTCCTACTCTACAAAATATTTACTACTATAATTTTCAAATACATGGCCACTTATATTCTTAAAGAACTGCTTAGAATACTGAGAAGTAAGTGATTTTGCCATGATCACACAGCCAACATGTGCCAGGGGCAGGACTTGAACCCGAGTCTTTTGGATCCAAGGCCAGCTCTCTGTCCACTATGATATCCTTGCTTCTCTAAGAGCACTAGTAAAACATTTAAAATCTAAAGGGAGTAAAGCCCAAAGAGTTTGTGCTTAAGGTAGTTAGTGGGCACTGTGGATAGATCACTGGACCTGGAGTCAGAAGGAACTGAATTCAAATCCAACCTCAAATGCTACATGACCCTGGGCAAATCACTTAACTTTTGCCAGTCTCAGTTTCATAAACTGTAAAATGGGGATAATAACAGCACCTAACTCCCAGATTGTTATGAGGATCAAGGGAGATAATATTTATAAAGTGCTTTATAAACCCTAAAGCACTATATAAATGCTAGTTATAATTATAATTTTTATCCATAGGCAGGTTGTAAATAGCTGCTGAAGAAAATCATGTTATCATTGGGAGGCTGTGGAAGAGGGCGAGTACAATAGAAATAGCATTGGCTCTGGAGTCAGAGGAGGGAGAATCAAATCCCGCCTCTGTTACTTAACTGGCTGTGTGAATCTGGACAAGTTACTTCCCCACCATGGGCTTCTCTTTTTTATCGGTAAAAGGAGGAAGTCAAGAGGGTCTCCCCAGCTCTTAGCATGTGATCCCATATCCTCGATCTGCCACATATTCCTGTTACCTGATTGGAATTGCACCTTCCTTGCAAGACAATAGTCCTTTTGTTCTCTTTCTGTCTCTGTCTCTGTCTCTCTCCAGCCTTAATTTCCCAATCTCACCAGGGTGGAAGTACTGCAGCCACTCATGGTCCCCATCACACTATCAATTTATTGGTAGGGGATTTTTCTTCTGCTCCATTTGCAACCTGGCCAGTTTTCCCATCCTTAGGCAGCCTTGGCTCCTAGGAACTCACTATATTGCTTCCAGACTTAGTGTGGACACTTGATTCACTTTAACCCACTTGTAGCTCAGAATTCCAGAGCTCAAGGGATCCACCTCAGATTCCCTCTCAGGTAGCAGGGATCACAGGGCATCCTACCTGGCTAATCCTTTTATTTGTCCGCAATTTCATCACTGTAATACTTCTAAAGCTTCTACCCTTCCAATGTGGCAGTTCAACCTTGCCCTATCTCCTTAAAATTCTCTTGTCCATGACCCCTTGGCCCCTTGAGTCTCAGCAGAGGACCTGGCCTCCTCTTCTACTGAAAAGATCAAGACTGCACTTCCAGAGCTCCCTCACCTCCTGGACATTATATCTCCCAGACCATTCTCTTCTCCTGTTCCCCTGTTTCTGGGGAAGAGATGACTCTTTTCCTTGCCAAGCTCAACCTCTTTACTTGTGCCCTCCATCTCATCCCCTCTCCTCTCTCCAGGAGCTGAGAGACCATGAAGACCATGACCTGACTGTCCCCCTCCAAATCATCAGCCTCTCCTTAGGCATTGGCTCCTCAGACCTCCCCCATCCTCAGAAATCTCTCTCTTGGCCTCCTCAAGTTACCATCCTCTATCTTTTCTCCCTTTTATTGTCAGAATCCTGAAAAGAGTGGTCTATACTTACATGCCAGCAGGAATCTCCCAGGCAGAATTCAGAGATGAGACTTGACCCTGCCCCTGAGCCCACCTTCTTCCATTATGTTACTGATCCCTTCTTATCTTCCCTTTTCTTTTTTCAATCAATAAATATTTCTTTCCTCTTCCTCCCATTGCCCTTGGAACAAATAGCATACTGTAGTCAGATGAAACAAATTCCCACATTGGCCATGTATAGATACTTGTGATTCATTTCATTTTTTTTTCTTATCTTTTGTCACATTGCAGCTGTTTATGAATGTCAACGACCCTTTCCAGTCACTTGTGGCCAGAATGCAGACTGTGTTACTAAAGATGGAATTTACCAGTGTTCCTGCAATCCTGGATATGCGCTTCCTTCTAGGGAGGAGACATTTCCAAATGCCACCATGAACAACTGTCAAGGTACCAACCTCTCTGGCATTCTTTGGCTGGCCTGGGAGTCAATGAAGAGCTCTTTCTGCTGAGCTGGGAGCAGAGAAGTCCCTCCCCGCATGGGGCACCTCTGCCCAGTGCCCTTTGCCTCCTCATATGGGCCCCCGCCCTCCTTCCCCAGGCCCCTCCCTCGCTCTGCCTCTCTCTGTTCAGTGCCCTTAGCTCCTCACTACAGGGGCCACCTCTAAATCCTGGGAACTCTCCCCTTCTCCCTATTCTGTCCATCCCAGCTCAGGCTCCCTCAGGAAACCTCATCTAAGTGTTGTGGCCAGACCCGGTCTCTGGGCTGGGAAGTTCAAATCTCTTTCCAGGCTATTACCCCGAAGAAGGAATTGAGGCCACAGGGGTCTAACCTGCCTGGCAGTGCTGCCTCCTGGGAGGCAGAGGACTCCTATCTAGGAGTCAGAGGGAGGAAGGATATTTTGGAAGGGACTAGACAGTGATTTCTCTCCACCAATGCCCTGCTAACTATACTCTCAGAGGGAGGTGTCTGAGGCACTGGGAGGCTGGGGGCCTTGGAGACTCGTGGAGCCAGCATGTGTCTGAGGGGAAACTTGAACCCAGATCTTCCTAATTCTGAGCCTAGCTCTCTCTCCACTCTGCCACATTCCCTATCTTATCCAATAGGCTTTCCCTTCCCCCTGCCCCCATTACATGGGCCATTTCATTTCTCTTTTTGTGTCCTTTCTTTCTCTCCCCACCCCCATCTGCTCCATCCTGGGTAGGACTCCCTCTTGGCTCAGCCTCAGAGACCAACAGTGGCCTCCAGCCTGAGGCGAGGAGGGATTATCAGAATTAATAGCTGGATTTCCACAATCCTTCAGGTTTACAAAGCCCTCCCTTCTCTCTGATTTTACCTTCTACTTACACTGCCTGTATCTTGTCTGGACATGGTTGTTTGCATGTTGTCTCCTACATTAGACTGTGAGCACATCTTCAAGTGCAGAGACTGAGTTTTTGTCTCTCTTTGTACCCCCAGTGTGCCTAGCACAGTGCCTGGCACATAGGAAGTGCCCCATAAATGTTTGTGGGTTGACTGACTGAGGAAGATACTAGAGGTATCTTTGATCTTCTGATGAGGAAAATGAGATCCCAGGAGGTGCAGAAGTCTGCCTCTGTGGACCCCCTCCCTCACTGTCTCTGGGTCCCCATCCAGGGCCAAACCTCCCTTCTCCAGCAGCAAGTAGGGTTGTTCCTCATCCTTTTTTCCTTCCTCTTACAGACGAGGATGAATGTCAGCTCAACCCCTTACTCTGTGAACCCCGTGGGGTCTGTGTAAATAAGCCTGGAAGCTATGTATGCAAATGCAAGCCAGGCTTTGCCCGAAGCAACCAGAACCGGATTGTGGACTGCATAGGTAAGTCCCTGTGGTAGGCACCCCAGGGACTCCCAGGGGATGAACTGAGCCCCTCAGTGTGTCTGTGAGAAGCCCCTGGATAAGCCAGCCAAGGATCAGGGGATAAGGCAGGGAACAGCTTGTCTGGGGAAGGTGAGGCTTCCCCCTGAAGTCAGAGCCAAGAGGGCTGGGGCAGAGCCACCCAGGGGCAATTTGGGCTGCGGTCCAGAGCCTCTGACAGGGAATCGGCTACAAAGAACTAAACTGGGAACCTCTGATCTGGGAGAGGAAGTGTGAGACCAAGCTCTGTAGGGAACAGAATGTGGGCAATGCCAACTGGACACCCTGGAGCCTGTGGGCACTGAGGCAGCAGCAATGGCCTTGGGACAGCACCCACCGGCACTCCCTGCTATGGGACCACGGATAAGTCACTTACCACTTTGTAGCCTCAGGTTGCTCATTTATAGAACACCCATCCCGCTGCACAGGGGTAGGGAGGTAGGGAGAGGAAAGAGAATGAGCATTTATATGGGCATGGTGCTAAGTGCTTTATAAAGATAATCTCCTAACAATTCTCGGCAGCTAGGTGGCGCCATAGTGCAGCGTGCTGGGCCTGAAGTCGCTAAGACTCATCTTCTGAGTTCAAATCCAGTCTCAGACATTTACTAGCTGTGTAACCCTGGAGAAGTCACTTAATTCTGTTTGCCTCGGTTTCCTCATCTGTAAAATGACCTGGAGAAGGAAATTGCAAATCACCCAGGTATCTTTGCCAAGAAAACCCCAAATTGGGTCAAGAAGAGTACGACATAACTGAAACAACTGAAAACATGCATAGAGACACAGGATGACTGGATGAGATGGACAAGCAGGGTTTCCCAACTGCGTGTCATGGCAGAGTGATTATCCTGCTCTACCCAACTTTTATTCCTAAATCCTATAAATAACAATAAAAAAACCATCCTAACCTTTCTTGATCCTCCCAGTTCCAGCTGCCTAGCTTCACCCTCTCCCTCATTCTGAGCTAGCCATAGAGCCTGAGCAGGGTGGAGGAGGCCATTTAGAATGGGTATATTTGCCTGGTGGATATACTGCTGTGTAGACCTGAATTCAGATCCAGCCTCAGACACTTACTAGCTAGCTTACCTTGGACTAGTCACTTAACTTCAGTTTCTTCAACTCTGAATTGAGGATAATAATAGCATCTACCTCTTAATGTTGTCCATAAGATCAAATGAGCTAATGTGTGCAAAGTGCTTAGCACATAGTAAGTGCAATGGGAATGTTAACTTTTATTACAAGTCACTGAGCTGAATGACATCTGAAATAGAGGCTCTCTCATCTTCGCCCAGAAATAATGAGAAAGAGCTCAGGTCTAGCATAGTTTCATTCTCTGCCAGTGTAGAATGTGGAATAAGTATGTGTGTGTGTCAGGGTGGTGGTGGTGGTGTTTTCTCCCCTTATCCCCTCCCATTACTCAGACATATCTGGTTATGACTCTTAACATAAAAATGAAGCCCAGTTAAGAATAGTATCACAGATCCAGTTCTGGAAGGGACCTGGAGGGCATCTAGTACAACCCATGCCTTTGACAGAAGAGGAAACTGAAACCCACAATTCATCATTTTGTTTTCCTTGGGTGTATACACTTGTTACAAAGTGAGGATGTGGGGTGGGGGTGGGGGAGCAGGGGAGGGGATCCTTGGGAAGTGGCAGTTGTGTTTATTTTGTTTTTTAAAAGAAAAGAGCATCAAAAAATTTAAAAACTAAGAGGCTGAATCCCAAAGAGCTTGTGACTTAGCCAAGGTAAGACTAGGATGTAGTAAGTAGCTGGTGGAGGATGTCACATGGTGACTGAGAGCCCATGTGGAAACGTGGCAACAGCACTGACTCGGTAGTCTGGGGTTGGGGTTCACTCCCCACCTCTGATGCTTAAAACTTGCCCAGGTCTCTATACCTCTCTGGGCCTCAGTTTCCTCACCTGTAACATATGGGTGTTAGACTACATGACCTCTAACTTTCCTTCCAGGTCTATGATTTTACAATAAAAAGGAGCAGGGGGAAGGTAGGGGAGGGAAGAATGCTACTTGGGCCAATCTCACCCAAAGAAGGGAAAAGAGGGAAATTAGTTTCATTGAGATCATTGTCTCAGAAGACCCAACCAGGGAGTGATATGGAGACTGAATGGAGAGATCTGGAGGCTTCAAAGCTTGGGATGTTTCTGTCCAGCCCAGGTCCCATCCTCTCCAGCAGGCAGACAGGGGCAAGAGATGCCAGGGGGATTAAAAGTCCCACCCAGGTCTCTGTTGTGTCCAAACTAGGGTTGCTAATCACCCCCTCTCCCTTCCTTTTGGAGATAAAAATGAATGTCAGAACAAATCACTCTGCAAACCAAATGGAATCTGTAAGAATACTGTTGGAAGCTATGTGGTCACATCAAACCAGGCTTTACTAAAAGCAGTGAGAACCAGTTTCAGTGCATAGGGATGTATGTCTCTAGGCAACAGGATGACCCACAACCCTGTGAGACTCCTGGGGGAAAGGACTGGGGAACTCAGTGTGTCTATGAGAAGCCCCCTGGGGAAACCAGCCAAGCATCAGGGCCAAGGCAAGAAGTACCTTGGATGGGGAAGGGGTGATGCTTCCTCCAGAAATCAGAGCCAAGCGCGCTGGGGTAGAGCCACCCAGGGGGGATTTGAGCAGCAGTCCAGAGCATAGGGCTGGGTTGGAACCAGGAACCTCTGAGCTAGAAGTTTGCAAACAAGTGTTCCATGGAACAGAATATGGGCAACACTAGCTAGATGCCCTGAAACCTGGAGACCCTGTGAGCACTGAGGCAGGTCCCTGTCCACCTGGTGGGAAGAGCAGTCACCTTCAGAATAGGACCCCTGGGTCTGATGCACTGGCCCTGCCTACTCTGGGGCCATGGGCAAGTCACTGACCCCCTCTGAGGCTCAGGGGGCTCATCTAAAAACTCCCAGCCCACCTCCCAAGGGTGTGGTAAAGCAAGGCTTTTAACCTTAAGGTGTCACAGAAACAGAGGCTGTTGTTATTATCCTGGCTGTCTGATTTCCCTTTGCCACAGGGAGTTCACCCAATGGGCCTTACTCCATGACCCTTCTGTAACTCTGACCAAGCACTTGGACCGGCTCCCCTGACTTCCCTCACCCTCTCACATCCCTCAACTGTCTTTTTTCCATCATGCTTTTCCTGATGACAATTTTCCTTCTGTTCTTTGGAGCTCCTCATTGGTTATATTGGCTCACACCACCATGGGCCTCTCTAGCGCCCTCTGTTTGGACCTCGATTATGTTCTATGGCTCACAGTCAGACTGTAACACCAATGGAATATTGGTATTAAAATATAGACCTTTATTTTTTAGCGGTCATTAGAGGACATTGGCCATTTCTTGAACTCCACCTGTTATCTTTCTCTGCTTAATTTTGAGTCCAATTAATTTACTACCTGTACTGTCTGTCCAGGTCATAAGCTGGGCAATAGACATTCTTCATCCACTTGGTCTTTCCTGTGTGGATGGTCAGGCCAAATTCTTTTGATTCATTATGGATTGGGGAGATCCAAAGAAGATGAATGTTACAAACCCTTGCCTCAAGAAACTTACAGTCGACCAGAAAGGATATGACAAAAATAAGAAGAATACAAAGAAGATTGTGATAGGGTCTCCCTATGCAAAAAAAAAGGAGAAAAAGTGTGTATGGGCAAAGAGATTCCTTTGAACTGAGGTAAAGGGGAGGTAATCAGGGAAGATTCCAGTAGAATGTAAGGTCTTTGCAGACAGGTGAACTGGTTTGGTTTTGCCCTGGCATCCTCAGTGCCTGGATACAGTAGGCAGTCAATTAGTGGTTGTTGAATTCAACTGAACAGAAGAGAGTCCTAACAGGCAGGGATGAGGAGGCAGTGTGCTCAAGGCAGGGGGTACAGCCTGAGTAGATGTATAGAGGCAGGACATGACAAGATGAAAAAGAGAAGCAGGGTTTCCCAAACATGGTTCATGGCAGAATGCTTTTCCTACTCTACAAAACATTTACTCTTATATAATGTTTTCTCTACAGACACTTATCATCTTAGAGCTGCTTAGAGCACTGAGGAGTTAAATGAATTTCCCAAGATCACACATGTATTTTGACTTCAAGGCCAGCTCTTTTTCCACTAAAACATCCTTGCTTCTCTAAGAACACCACCGGCAAAACATTTGAAATCCAAAGAAAGTGAAGTCTGAAGAGCTTGTGCTTTGAGGTAGTTAGTGGGCACAGTGGATAGAGCATTGGACCTGGAGTCAGAAAGACCTGAGTTCAAATCCAACAGCAGATGCTGTGTGACCCTGGGCAAATCATTTAACCTCTGCTTGCCTCAGTTCCGTAAACTATAAAATGGAGATAATAACAGCAGCTACCTCTCAGGGTGTTGTGAGGATCAAATGAGATAATAAATGTAAAGCATTTTAAAAACCTGAAAGCACTACCTAGATGTTAGCTATAATTATAATTTGTATCCACAGGCAGGTTGCAAGTAACTGCTAAATAAAGTCATGTTATCACTGGGAGGCAGAGGATGGGGTGCCTGGTACAATGGGAAGAGCATTGGTCCTGGAGTCAGAAGAGGGAGAATCAAATCCCACCTTTGATACTAACTGGCTGTGTGAACCTGGACAAGTCACTTCCCCACTGTGGGCTTCCCTTTCTTTATCCGGAAAAGGAGGAGGATGAGAGGGTCCCCCCACCTCTAAACATGAGATCCCATATCCTGCATCAGGCACAAATTCCTGTTGCTTGATTTTAATTGGGCTTTCCCTGGTAGAAAATAGTCCTTTTATTCTCTCTTTTTATTTCCTTTCATTTCTTTTCTTTCTTCTTTCCTTTATTCCTTCCTTCCTTTCTTCTTTATAGCATTCCTTCTTTACTTCTTTCATTCCTTCCTTCCTTCCTTTCATATTTAATTTTCTTTCCTTTTCATTCTTCCTTGGTCTCCCAATCTCATCAGGCTAGAAGTGCAGCAAATACTCATGGTCCCACTCCCACTACTTATATATTGGCAGGGGAGTTTTCTCCTGTTCCATTTCTAACCTGGGCCAGTTTTCCCATCCTTAGACAGCCTGGTGGCCCTTCCCTTCCACAAACTCACTATATTGGTGCCAGACTTAGTGTAGACAGTCAACTGACTTTAACCCTCCTGTAACTCAGAACTCCAAGGTTCAAGGTATTCACCTCAGGGATTACAGGGCATCCTACCTGGCTATTCCTTTTATTTGTCCACAATTTCATCTCTGTAATACCTCTAAAGCTTCTACTCTTTCAATGTGACAGTTCAAAATCTTGCCCTGTTTCTGTAAAACTCTCTTGGCCATAATCCCCTGGACCCTTGCACCTCAGTAGACAACCCAGCCTCCCATTCTACTGAGAAGATCAAGGCTGTCTTTCCAGAGCTCCCTCACCTCCTGGACATCATATCTCCCAGAACATCTTCTTCTCCTGTTCCTCTGTTTATCAGGAAGAGATTGTCCTTTCCTTGCCAAGCCCAGCTCTGTACTTGTGCCCTCCATCTCATCCCCTCTCTATCTACAGGAGCTGGCCCTGGAGATAATGTCCTGACCCTCCTCCTTCAAATCATCAGCCTCTCCTTAGCCATCAGATCCTTCGATCTCTCCCATCCTCAGAAATCCCTCTCTTGGCCTCCTCAATTTACCATCCTCTATCTTTTCTTCCTTTTACTGTCAGAGGGCTGAAAAGACTTGTCTGTACTTACATGCCAGCAGGAATCTCCCATATAGAATTCAGAGATGAGGCTTGAAACTGTCCCTGAGCCCACTCCCTTCCACAACCTTCCTGATATTTTCTCTTCTTTTTTCTTTTCCTTTTTTTCTTCTCTTCCCTTTTCTTTTCTTTTTTTCCATCAACAAGCATTTCTTTCAACTTCTTCCCAGCCCCTCAGAAAAGAAAATGAAAAAGAAAGCCCCTGTGAAAAACAGCATACTACAGTCAGACTAAACAAATTCTCACATGGGCCATGTGCAAATATGTGTGTTTAATTTCTATTCTTTTCTTATCCTGCAGATGTTGATGAATGTGCACCATCCTTTAATGCCTCTTGTGGTCAGAAGGCAAACTGTGTTAATACGGAAGGAAGTTATCACTGCGCCTGTAACCATGGATATGTGCTTCCTTCTGGGGATGACACATTCCCAAATGCCACCATGAACAACTGTCAAGGTACCAACCTCTCTGGCATTCTTTGGCTGGCCTGGGAGTCAATGAAGAGCTCTTTCTGCTGAGCTGGGAGCAGAGAAGTCCCTCCCTGCATGGGGCACCTCTGCCCAGTGCCCTTTGCCTCCTCATATGGGCCCCCGCCCTCCTTCCCCAGGCCCCTCCCTCACTCTGCCTCTCTCTGTTCAGTGCCCTTAGCTCCTCACTACAGGGGCCACATCTAAATCCTGGGAACTCTCCCCTTCTCCCTATTCTGTCCATCCCAGCTCAGGCCCCCTCAGGAAACCTCATCCAAGTGCTATGACCAGACCTGGGCTCTGGGCTGAGAGGTTCAAATCTCTTTCCAGGCTATTACCCAGAAGAAGGAATTGAAGTAACTGGAGTCTGACCTGCCTGGCAGTGCTGCCTCCTGGGATCCAATATTTAGGAGACAGGAAGGGAGATATTTTGGAGGGGACTAGACAGTGATGTCTCCACCAATGCCCTGCTAACTATACTCTCAGAGGGAGGAGTCTGAGGCACTGGGAGGCTGGGGGCCTTGGAGACTCATGGAGCCAGTATGTGTCTGAGGGGAAACTTGAACCCAGATCTTCCTAACTCTGAGCCTAGCTCTTTCTCCACTCTGCCACAATCCCTATATGATAGCCTTTTCCCCTGCCCCCTTTTCATGTGCCCTTTCATTTCTCTTTTTGTGTCCTTTCTTTCTCTCCCCACCCCCATCTGCTCCATCCTGGGAGGACTCCCTCTTGGCTCAGCCTCAGAGACCAACAGGCGCGTCCAGCCTGATGGGAGAAGAGATGGGAGGACCTGGATTTTCACAGCTCTTCAGGTTTACAAAGCCCTCCCTTCTCTCTGATTTTACCTCCCATTTATACTACATGTATCTTGTCTGTACACGGCTGTTTGCATCTTGTCTCCTCCATCAGACTGTGAGCACGTCTTCCAGTGCAGAGACTTTTTGCCTCCCTTTGTACCCCCAGTGTGCCTAGCACAGTGCCTGGCACAGAAGAAGTGAAAGATAACTGCTTGTGGACTGACCAACTAAGGGAGACAGTAGAGGTATCTTTGATCCTCTGATGAGGAAAGTGAGGTCCCAGGAGGTGCAGGAACCTGCCTCTCTGGCCCGCCCCCCTCACCATGTGCTGGGTCCCCACACAGGGCCAAGCCTCCCTTCTCCAACCGCAGCTGAACACACCAGGCCTCCTCTCTCTGCTTTCCATCTGCCATATTTCTCTTTCCCACCAATATAGATGTTTAGGGATGGGAGATGAAATTAGTCCATTTCTTGGACAAAATGTACTTAAAGTTGACTCTGGAAAGGAGGGGTGAAGGTCTTATGCAAAACTCTCCTGACAACAGCCTTTAGGGGATACAGCAAAGGAATTAGAAATTCCAGCTCAGATGAAAGCATAGGCCTTGGCCCTTGTCTCCTCCAATTGCTGCCCTTTTACAGATCAGGAACATGATGACCTTATATTGTTAACCGATGCTGTGGGAGGTCAGCTTAAGGCTCGGGTGGTTTATTGAGGCTGGCAGGAATCTCTGGGCCACATTCTGATACAGCATCACAGGGAGATAGATGCTCACAGGTCCCACTCCCCCAGGGAGGTGAGACTGACAAGATCCCTGTAGAGCCCTGTCCTTCCTGCTCCCTGCCTCCACTCTTTACAACTCACACCAAGCCAAAAGCTGGCTTCACTGAAAGACAGACATTCATTCTCTCTCCTACATCTGGAGACTCTGGGATTTCCCAGTTTGTTTGGATAATTAGAATCTATCTAAGGCAAAGGGGATGGTGCCAACCAATGGGGCAGGGACTGAAGGAAATGGCGAGATAGCAGATGGGGCCTCCCTCCTCCCCAGATGGACGAGCCCGTCTAAGACCACACAGAGCCATGCTTCACCACATCAAGGGGGCAGAACATCTGGGTCACTAGGGAGAAACCTGAGGAACCCCCCAGCCAACATGAAAGAGAAGGCATTTATGAAGCATTTACTATGCATCCAGCAATTTCCTAAATGTTGGCACAAAGAAACAAAAAATGAAAAACTGTCCCCTATCCTCAAGAAATTTCTTCTTTAAACATGAGAGACAATAGAAGTCTGTGGCCTTATGCCCCAAATTCAATGACTACTAACTAGCTTAATGCCCTAGATCACTTAACCTCTCTGGGTCTCAGTTTCCTCATTTGGATTTTGGACCAGATGACCTCTAGGTTCCCTACCAACTCCTTTTGTTCATTTGTTTTAGTTGTGTCTGATTCTTCGCGGCCCAATTTGGAGTTTTCTTGGCAGAGATAATAGAGTGGTTTAACATGTCCTTCTTCAGCCCATTTGTCAGATGAAGAAAATGAGGCAAACAGGGTTAAGTGACTTGCCCAGGGTCACAGAGCTACTAAGTGTCTGAGGCTGGATTTAAACTCACGAAGATGAGGCTTGCTGACTCCAGGCCTGGCACTCTATCCCCTACGGTGCTACCTAGCTGCCCAGCTCTAAGAACCTGTAGTAAACGAGAGGTCTGCCTCCTGGGTCAATTTCACCCAAAGAGGGGAAGAGAAGGAAATGAGTGTCACTGAGATCATTGCTTCAGGAGGCCCAGGCCAAGGAGGGAAACAGAGACTTAGCAGAAAGCTCTGGAGGCTCCAGGGGCTTGGCATGTTTCTGTCCAGCCCAGTTCCATCCTCCTCAGGAGCTAGAGAGTGACAAGAGATGACAGTGTCTGTTATATCCAAACTAGGATCGTTCCTTATCCCCTTTCCTTTCTTCTTACAGATGTGGATGAATGTCAGCTCAACAGTTCACTCTGTACACCTGGTGGGTTCTGTATAAATAAGCCTGGAAGCTATGTATGCAAATGCAAGCCAGGCTTTGCCCGAAGCAACCAGAACCAGATTATGGACTGCATAGGTAAGTCCCTGTGGGAGGCAGCCCAGGGACTCCCAGGGGATGAACTGAGCCCCTCAGTGTGTCTATGAGAAGCCCCTGGGTGATCCAGCCAAGGATCAGGGGATAAAGCAGGGAACGACTTATATGGGGAAGGTGATGCTTCCCCCTGAAGTCAGAGCCAAGAGGGCTGGGGCAGAGCCACCCAGGGGCAAATTGGGCTGTGGTCCAGAGCCTCTGACAGGGAGTCAGCTACAAAGAACTAAACCAGGAACCTCTGATCTGGGAGAAGAAGTGTGGGCCCAAGCACTGTAGGGAACAGAATGTGGACAATGCCAACTGGACACCCTGGAGCCTGTGGGCACTGAGGCAGCAACAGTGGCCTTGGGACAGCATCCACTGGCACTCCCTGCTATGGGACCATGGATAAATCACTTACCGCTTTGTAGTCTCAGGTTGCTCATTTATAGAACACCCATCCCACTGCACAGGGATGGGGCGGTAGGGAGAGGAAAGAGAATGAGCATTTATATGGGCATGGTACTAAGTGCTTTATAAAGATAATCTCCTAACAATGTTCTGCAGCTAGGTGGCGCCATAGTGCACAGTGCTTGGCTTGAAGTCACTGACTCATCTTTCTGAGTTCAAATCTGGCTTCTGACATTTGACACTTATTAGCTGTATGACCCTAGGCAAGTCACTTAACTCTGTTTGCCTCGGTTTCCTCATCTGTAAAATGAGCTGGAGAAGACTATGGCAAACTACTCTTGTATCTTTGTCAAGAAAACCCCAAATGGGGTCATGAAGAGTCTGACACAACTGAAAAACAACTGAACAGATGCATAGAGGCATGGGATGACACTGTGAGATGGAGAAGCAGTTTTCCTTCTGTTCTTTGGAGCTCCTCACTGGCTTTAGGTTACAGGGGGCCGACACCCCCTAGGCATCTCTAGCTCATTCTGTGTGGACCTCGATTATGTTCTATGTCTCACAGTTGGACTGTAACACAAATAGAATATTAGTATTGAAAATATAGACCTTTATTTTCCAGGAGAAGTTAGGAGTCATTAGAGGAGACTAGCAATTTCTTTTTTTGTTTGTTTGTTTTTGCTTTTTGGTGAGGCAATCAGGGTTAAGTGACTTTCCCAGAGTCACACAGCTAGTAAGTGTCAAGTGTCAGAGGCCAGATTTGAACTTAGGTCCCCCTGACTCCAAAGCTAGAGCTCTATGCACTGGGCCACCTAGCTGCCCCCTTGGCAATTTCTTGAACTCCAGCCTGCTATCCTCCTCTGCTGAATTTTGAGCCCAATTCACTTTATATCTATAGCGTACGTAATGAGAAGCATGCTCTATAGGTCTTTCTTCCAAGTGCTGGTCATAATGTGTGCTATGGACATTCTTCATCCACTTGGTCTTTCCTGTGTGAATGGTCAGACCAAAATCTTTTGAGTGGTTATGGATTAAGGAGATCAAAGAAGAAGAATGCTACAAACCCTTGCCTCAAGGAACTTGGAGTCAAGTAGAAAGGATATGACAAAAATAAGAAGAATAAAAGTAGACTGTCTCCCCATGCAAAAAAAAAAGGCAGAAAAGTGTGAATGGGCAAATTTGAACAGGGAGAGTGATTCCTGAAGAGCTTGTGCTTTGAGGTAGCTAGTGGGCACAGTGGATAGAGCATTGGACCTGGAGTCAGAAAGACCTGAGTTCAAATCCAATAGCAGATGCTATCTTACTCTGGGCAAACCACTTAACCTCTGCCTGCCTCAGTTCCATAAACTGTAAAATGGAAATAATAACAATATCTATATCTCAGGGTGTAGTGAGGATCAAATATTTGTGAAGCGCTTTATAAACCTTAAAGCACTACTGAAATACTAGCTAACATTATAATTTTTATCCATGAGCAGGTGCTAAGTAGCTGTTGAAGAAATCCATGTCATCACTGGGAGGCCAGGGGGATCCAATGGGAAGAGCATTGGCTCTGGAATCAGAGGAGGGAGAATCAAATCCCACCTTTGACAGTAACTAGCTGTGTGAACCTGAACAAGTCACTTCCCCACTATGGGCTTCCCTTTCTTTATCTGTTAACAGAAGAGGTTGGAATGGTCCTTGCAACTCTAAATATGTGATCCCATATCCTGGTTCAACCACAAATTCCTGTTGCCTGATTTTAACTGAACTTTCCCTTTTGTCTAACTATTGTTTGACAATAGTCCTTATATTTTCTCTTATCATTTCATTCCTTCCTTCCTTCCTTTCATTCTTCCTTTTCTTTCCTTTTTATTCTTCCTTGGTCTCCTAATCTCATCAGTGTGGAAGTGCAGGAGATATCAATGGTCCCAATCCCACTACTGATTTATTTGCAGGGGTTTTCTCCTGTTCCATTTCTAACCTGGCCCAGTTTTCCCATCCTTAGATAGCCTGGAAGCCTTCCCCTCTTAGAAACTTACTATATTGGTTCCAGATTTTGTGTAGACACACAAATGATTTTAACCCTGCTGTAACAACTCAGAATGCCAAGGCGCAACATATTCACCTCAGCTTCTCTCTCTGAGGTAGCGGGGATTACAGGGCATCCTACCTGGTTAATCCTTTTATTCATCCACAATTTCATCTTTGTAATACTTCTAAAGTTCCTCCCCCTCCAATGTGGCAGTTCAAAACCTTGCCCTGCCTCCATAAAACCCTCATGGCCATAACCCCCTGCCCCCTGGGGTCTCAGCAGAGGACCTGGCCTTCTACTCTACTGAAAAGATCAAGGCTGCCCTTTCAGAGCTCCCTCACCTCCTGGACATCATACCTCTCAGACCAGACTCTTCTCCTGTTCCTCTGTTTCCTAGGCAAGTCACTTAACTCTGTTTGGACCAGGAAGAGATAGCTCTTTTCCTTGCCAAGCCCAGCCTCTTTACTTGTATCCTCCATCTCATCCCCTCTCATCTCCCCAGGAACTGGCCCTAGAGACAATGACCTGACCCTCCTCCTCCAAATCATCAACCTCTCCTTAGCCATCAGATCCTTGGATCTCCCCCATCCTCAGAAATCCTTCTCTTGACTTCCTCAAGTTACCATCCTCTGTCTTTTTTCTCTTTTACTATCGGAGGCCTAGAAAGAGTTGTCTGTACTTATATGCCATCAGGAATCTCCCAGATGGAATTCAGAGATGAGGCTTGACACTGTCCCTCAGCCTATGCCCTTCCATTGCTGATCTTTTCTTTTCTTTTTTTCTTCCCTTCCTTTTGGTTTTCTTTTTTCAACCAGAAAACATTTCTCTCGTATTCCTCCAACCCCCTCAGAAAAGAAGAAAGCTACTGTAACAAATAACACTGTAGTCAGATGAAACAAATTCCCACAGGAGTCATGTGCAAATATGTGTTTCATTTCTTTTCTGTTCTTTTATTGCAGATGTTGATGAATGTGCACCACCCATTAATATGTCTTGTGGTCAGAATGCTGACTGTGTTAATACAAAGGGAACTTTCCACTGCACCTGTAAACCTGGATATGCATTTCCTTCTGGGGACACAAAATTCCGAGACGCCACCATGAACAACTGTCGAGGTACCAGCCTCTCTGGCATTCTTTGGCTGGCTTGGGAGTCAATGAAGAGCTCTTTCTGCTGAGCTGGGAGCAGAGAAGTCCCTCCCCGCATGGGCCACCTCTGCCCAGTGCCCTTCGCCTCTTCATATGGGCCCCCTCCCTCCTTCCCCAGGCCCCTCCCTCACTCTGCCTCTCTCTATTCAGTGCCCTTAGCTTCTCACTACAGGGGCCACCTCTAAATCCTGAGAACTGTCTCCTTTCCCTATTCTGTCCATCCTAACTCAAGCCCCCTCAGGAAACCTTATCCAAATGCTGTAGCCAGACCTGGGCTCTTTCCAGGCTATTACCCACAAGAAGGAATTGAGGCCACAAGAGTCTGACCTGCCTGGCAGTGCTGCCTCATGGGACCCAATATTTAGGAGACAGGAGGGGGGATATTTTGGAAGGGACTAGACAGTGATGTCTCCACCAATGCCCTGCTAACTGCAGTCTTAGAGAGAGGTGTCTAAGGCACTGAGAGTCTGGGGGCCTTGGAGACTCATGGAGTCAGTATGTGTCTGAGGGGAAACTTGAACCCAGATCTTCTGAACTCTGAGCCTAGGTCTTTCTCCACTCTGCCACATTCCCTCTCTTATCCAAAAGGCTTTTCCTTCCCCTGCCCCCATTATGTGGGCCATTTAATTTGTTTTTTGTGTCCTTTCTTTTTCTCCCCACCCCCATCTGCTTCATCCTGGGTAGGACTCCCTCTTGGCTCAGCCTCAGAGACCAACAGGGGCCTCCAGCCTGAAGGGAGGAGGGATCATCAGAATTAATAGCTCGATTTCCACAGCCCTTCTCTCTGATTTTACCTCCCATTTACACTGCACATGTCTTGTCTGTATATGGCTCTTTGCACGTTGTCTCCTACATTAGACTGTGAGCACCTCTTCCAGTGCAGAGACTGAGTTATGCCTTTCTTTGTACCCCCAGTGTGCCTAGCACAGTGACTGGCACATAGGAAGTGCTCCATAAATGCTTGTGGACTGACTGACTGAGGGAGATACTAGAGGGATCTTTGATCCTCTGATGTGGAATGTGAGGTTCTGGGAGTGGCCGAAGCCTGCCTCTGTGGGCCCCCTCCCTCACTGTGTGCTGGGTCCCCAGCCAGGCCCAAACCTCCCTTCTCCAGCAGCTGCTGAGCCGACCAGGCCCCCTCTCTCTGGTTTCCATCTGCCAAATTTCTTTTTCCTACCAATATAGATGTTTAGGGAAGGGAGATGAAATTAGTCCAGGAATTGTGAAGGTTTTATGCAGGACCGTCCCCTGATAACACACAGTCCTTGGCCATTGTCTCCTCCAATCCCTGTCCTTGTACACATCAGGAGCCTCGTGACCTTTTATTGTTAACAGATGCTTTGGAAGATCAGCTTAAGGACCAGCTGGTCTATTGAGGGCTGCCAGGAGTGTCTGGGTCACTTCTTGATACATCATCACAGGGAGATAGATGCTCACAGGTCCTGCTGTTCCAGGGAGATGGGGTTGAGAAGATCCATGGAGGGCCCTGTCCTTCCAGTTTCCAGGATCCAGTCCATGCCCTTCATACCAAGCCAGAATCTGATTTGACTGAAAGACAAACATTCATTCTGTCTCCTAGGTCTGGAGGTTCTGGGATTTCATAGTTTGTTTGGATAAGAAGATTCTATCCAAGGCAAAGGGGATGGTCTCAACCAATGGGGCAGAAATTGGGGAGAATGGCCAGATATGAGATGGGGCCTCCACCCTAGCTGGATGGATGGGTCCATCTAAGACTGCATAGAGTCATGTTTCACAACATCAAGGGGGCAGAACATCTGGGTCACTAGGGAGAAGCCTGTATGACCCTTCAGCCAACATGAAATAGAAGTCATTTATGAAATATTTACTATCCACCCACAATTTGCTAAATGTTGGCAATAAGAAACAAAAAAGGACAAACTGTCCCCTGTGCTCAAGAAATTTCTATTTTAAACATGAGAGAGAATAGAAGTCTGTAGCCTTATGCCCCAAATTCAATGACCACTAACTAGCTTTATGACCTCCGATCACTTAACCTCTCTGGGCCTCAATTTCCTCATTTGATGTTGGACTAGATGACCTCTAGATTCTCTACTAGCTCTTTTTGTTCAATCATTTCAGTCACGTCCAACTCTCTGTGACCCCCTTTTGGGTTTTCTTGCTAGAGATAGTGGAGTGGTTACGATTTCCTTCTCTAGCCCATTTTACAGATGAGGACCTGAGGCCAACAAGGTTAAGTGACTTGGCCAGTGTCATACAGCTGGTAAGTGTCTGGGGCTGGATTTGAACTCTGGAAGATGAGGCTTGCTGACTTCAGGCCAGGCACTCTATCCACTGAGCCACCTAGCTGTCCAGCTCTAATAGGAGCCTCTAATAAAGGGGACAGCTGCTTCCTGGGTCAATTTCACCCAAAGAGGTGAAGAGAAGGAAGTTAGTGTCACCAGGATCACATAGGCACAGGCCAAGGTAGAAAAGAGATTCTTTACAGAAAGCTCTGGAGGCTCCAGGGGCTTGGCATGTTTCTGTCCAGCCCAGTTCCATCCTCCTCAGGAGCTAGAGAGTGGCAAGAGATGCCAGAGTGTCTGGAAGCCCCACCGGGGTCTCTGTTGTGTCCACACTAGGTTTGGTTCTCATCCCTTCTCCCTTCCACTTACATGGTTGAATATCAGTTCAACAGCCACTCTGTGAACCTGGTGAGGTCTGTATACATAAGCCTGGAAGCTATATGTACAAATGAAAACCTGGCTTTGCCAAGAGCAGTGAGGAACAGTTTAAGGGCTGCATAGATAAGCCGCAGAGAGAGGCAGCCCAGCGACTCCCAAGGGACATCCCAGGGGATGAACTGAGGCCCTGAGTGTGTCTATGAGAAGCTCACTGGGTGAGCCAGCCAAAGATCAGGGCCAAGGCAAGAAGTACCGTGGATGGGGAAGAGGGTGATGCTTCCTCCAGAAGTCAGAGCCAAGAGAGCTAGGGCAGAGCCACTCAAGGGGAATTTGAACTGCAGTCCAGAGCCCAGGACAGGGTTAGAACCAGGAACCTCTGAACTGGAAGAAGTTTGGAACCAAGTGCTTTATGGAGCAGAATATGGCAGCACTAGTTAGATGTCCTGAAGCCTTGGAGACCCTGTGAGCACTGAGGCAGCCACTTGGCCATCTGGCGGGAAGAACAGTCACCTTCAGAATAGGATCCCTGGGTCCGATGCACTGGCCCTGCCTACTTTGGGTTCATGGGCAAGTCACTGACCCTCTGTGAGGCTCAAGGGACTCATCTATAGAACTCCCAGCCCACCTCCCAAGGGTGTGGCAAAGCAAGGCTTTGTAACCTTAAGGTGCCACAGAAATTGGGGCTGTTCTTATTATCCTGATTTCCCTTTGCCACAGGGAGTCCATCCAATGGGCCTACCTCCATGATTCTTCTGTAACTCTAACTGAGCTCTTGGACCGGTTCCTCTGACCTTCCTCACCCACGTCATATCCGCCAACCATCATTTTTCTTTCATGCTTTTTCCTAATGACAGTTTTCTTTCTGTTCTTTGCAGCTCCTCACTGATTATAGCTCAGGGGGCTCACAACACCATGGACCTCTCTAGCTCCCTCTGTGTAAACCTCAATTATGTTCTATATCTCATAGACCTTTATTTTTCAGGGGTCATTAGAGGACATTGGACATCAGAGGAGATTACTTTTAGATTCCTTGTAGACTCACTTTATCTCTCTCAATTTCAAAGCTTATTCAAATGCACTTTCCTTCCTGGCCCCAAAAAGAACCTGGCTTCTGTTTGTCTCTCTTTATCTCCATTTGAAAGCAAACTTCCCCCCCTTCAGCTCCCTTCATTATCTATTCTCATTGTTTATTACCTTCCAAATGGACCCAACCAACCCCCCTTCCTCTGGCCACCTTTAATCCTAGCTAGGGGCCATGCAGTCCAGGACCCAGGAGTTCTGCTTGCCCCAGCTTGCTGGCCACTTCCATCCAGATCTCTTTAGACCCCTCCTCCCATCACCCCAAACTACTTGGCCACTCCTAAGATCCCTCCCCCCAATCTTTCTGTACTTAAGACTCACCTTTCTCCCATTCTGATGCTGGGAACTTCTCATGCCCCTAGAGGCTGAGACCATGCCCTCTCATAATGAGTGTTACCTGGCCTGACCACCTTAGCTCCCAGCCCCCAACTCAGACACTGACTTTCCTCATGCCCAAGAGGTTGAGACTGCCTAACGCCACACCTGACCACCTTAACCCCCATTTAGATCACTGATGTTTGGGTTCCTTTGGAGTCTGGCCTATATGCTTATCTTTAATAAACTTTTCCTCTGGCTGGAAGAAGATCTGGGTCGAATTCTTTCAGGCAGATGCATGCTGCAATTTGGGCTTTTTCCTGCCATCTTGGGGTGCCTCTGTGCATCTAGGAGCAACCTAAAACCCCCCTCTTCATACATATGTGTGTATATATATATATATATGTGTGTGTGTGTGTATATATATATATGTGTGTGTGTGTATATATATATGTATATATATATATATATATACATATACCCAATACATCCTTCACTCAATGTTCCCTTTAGTAATCATCAAGTTTTACCTTTTCATATAACACAGAACTAAGGTCCAGAGAAGGGAAGACAGTTTTCTTATGATCACCAAGAAAATTCTTGGCTACTTTGGGACCGGAATTCAGTTGAGTACCTCTGACTGCATCCTATTCCATAGTTCTTAGCTTGGCTGTGAATTAAATACTCTTTCTTTCACAATAAAATGGAGCTGGATGTTCCAGACTCTAAACTGGTTCTGGGTTTCCTACTTTGGAAATCAAAGGACAGTTACCAAGTGGTGAGTTCTTCAAAACACATTTCAAGGCTGCTCCTGGCTATCCTGCTAGTGCCCTAAATATTAATCAGTTCTTA